TTGGTAGTGAGGCTGCGTTTGCAGTTTGCTCTGGTTTTTCCGCACCTGCCAGGTGACAGTTGTTATAGATTTTGTTAGAGTAGTCCGCTTCCCACCTCTTTTTCTCCTTCTCCTTGCTTCTTCGCCAGCTCTCAATCACAGTGGGCGCACCGGCGGACCTCAACCACGAGCTTCGGATCACGTGGGCACCAGCGGGCCTCCACCGCGACCCCGACCGCCAGTGGGCAGTGCTGGGCCTCCACTGCCAAACACGTTGCCAGAATGTATCTAAGATAAAATGTCAGAACATATGCCACATCAAAGGCCAAAATATATGTCAGATCCCACGCCCGAAAAACAATGCCACAATACATGCCAGGTAAAAGGCCAGGTAAAAGCTCCTGTCTTTTCGGGAACAAGTTCACCAACTGTAATTTCAAACCGGGGACCCTTGTGAGCCTGTGAATTGAATTCATGTCAGTATTTCAGGATCGCGCTTCTGGGGAGGGCTGCCTGGCAGAATTTGCGATCCCCAACCAGATCCGGGATCGCGTGATGCTTTTTCAATGTATTTAAAGTGAAATATCAATACTGGAATTTTGTTTTGTTAGAAAATGAACCCCTTTATAGTTTCAAATAGGCAACGCGATCCCGGATCTGGTTGGGGATCGCAAATTCTGCCAGGCAGCCCTCCCCAGAAGCGCGATCCCGGATCTGGTTGGGGATCGCAAATGCTTTTTCAATGTATTTATAATGAAATATCAATACTGGAATTCTGTTTTGTTAGAAAATGAACCCCTTTACAATTTCAAATAGGCAACGCGATCCCGGATCTGGTTGGGGATCGCAAATTCTGCCAGGCAGCCCTCCCCAGAAGCGCGATCCCGGATCTGGTTGGGGATCGCAAATTCTGCCAGGCAGCCCTCCCCAGAAGCGCGATCCCGGACCTGGTTGGGGATCGCAAATTCTGCCAGGCAGCCCTCCCCAGAAGCGCGATCCTGAAATACTGACATGAATTCAATTCACAGGCTCACAAGGGTTCCCGGTTTGAAATTACAGTTGGTGAACTTGTTCCCGAAGAGACAGGAGCTTTTACCTGGCCTTTTACCTGGCATGTATTGTGGCATTGTTTTTCGGGTGTGGGATCTGACATATATTTTGGCCTTTGATGTGGCATATGTTCTGACATTTTATCTTAGATACATTCTGGCAACGTGTTTGGCAGTGGAGGCCCAGCACTGCCCACTGGCGGTCGGGGTCGCGGTGGAGGCCCGCTGGTGCCCACGTGATCCGAAGCTCGTGGTTGAGGTCCGCCGGTGCGCCCACTGTGATTGAGAGCTGGCGCAGAAGCAAGGAGAAGGAGAAAAAGAGGCGGGAAGCGGACTACTCTAACAAAATCTATAACAACTGTCACCTGGCAGGTGCGGAAAAACCAGAGCAAACTGCAAACGCAGCCTCACTACCAACATGCATGAGAATATCATGGGATGAAGCTAAAACACAAGCGATTGTACAACCAAAGTCGAATACTTCAAGTAACTGTTTTCCCGACCCAAGCGACGGTTGTCTCCAACAAAGGCCTCCAAACGTCCAACATGGGCCCAACATGGACCCAAGATGAGCCCAAGACCAATTTAGGCCTCAACATGGCCTAAGTTGGCTCTACAAGTGGGGCTTTCAACCAGCTGTATCAGATACAGCTGGCAAAAAAGGGGTCCGTAGAGGCATCATCCTGCCAATATAGGCCTCAACATGGCCCAAGTTGGCTCTACAAGTGGGGCTTTCAACCAGCTGTATCAGATACAGCTGGCAAAAAAGGGGTCCGTAGAGGCATCATCCTGCCAATATAGGCCTCAACATGGCCCAACACGGCTCTACAAGTGGGGCTTTCAACCAGCTGTATCAGATACAGCTGGCAAAAAAGGGGTCCGTTCAGGCAAATATTTGGAACAATATATACAATGTTCTACAGTGAGTCTCATCATACTTAAGAGGCTTCAGGCCACAGAATACCATGGAAACCAGAAGGTCAGCACCTTCTTGTCACAGGTTTTCCATCCCATAGTCACGGAAGGCTCACCAATCTGGATGTGCTGCCAAGGAAATTGCATTACAGACAACCAGCAAAAAATCAAAGAAGAAATGCGCAGCCGTGACTGCAAAGAATTCAAGATCTCATGAACCAGCCCAACAAACGCATGTTGCAGTTATTCTGATTGCTTCGACCAAGTTAGTGCAATGGAAGGCAATGGAAGGCATATCTTTTTTTCCACCCCTAACAGGTCTTCGGAAGCTCTGTTGTCCAAGGTCACTGGTGTACGGCCCCTGTCCTGACTTGCCGAAAATGATGCAGGACACCCCAAATGAACACCTCCTGGACGCCCTGCACAGTCTATCATGGAACCTCCCTCTTGACTAGAACCTCCCTTTTGATTGAGGCATCTGCAGCTCTGCAAGGAAGCATAGCAGGGTTCGAGACATAGTTTGTCAAAATCCGAGACAAGTCCACATTCTCTTTTTCGAGAAGCCGTATGCGCTCAGCGGATTCCTGCAAACTCTTCACCAATCCTTGCGGGTCCTGACATTGGGCCAACAGCGCCTTCGCCTCATCCAGCTGCTTCTGCAGATCATCATAGCCCTGGATCTTTTGGTAGTCTTCAGCATTCAAACGATATCTAAGATTTTTTCTTCGGCTCTCATACCTGAGGCCGCATTGCGGACCGCAAAACTTTGACAGATGTTTTGGAATATAGAGTGTATGCAATATGAAAGGCCTCATACCCAACATTATTCAGTTCGTCAATATGGCATCCCGTATGGCTGGGCCAGAGCATGGCTAAGGACTCTTGCGGGTTTGGGTTGGAAACTCCAAGTTGCTTTTTGTGGGCAGCTTTTTTTCTGCTCATCATCCTTCTTCACGGGTGTGTCCGCAACAACCTGCTCTGATGATCTCTTTGACTTGCTCCGGCCCGCAGCATCGCTCTTCGATGTCTTGCTCTGGCGGCAGGTGGACATGCTGAAGCTCTGAGCCTGAGAACCTTTACTATATACCTGCTTGTCCATGGCCATCAATGGTTGGACGCGGCAGTGATTCAAACAATGAGCCATCCATGAAAAACACGCAAGTACTAACTTGGCGTGATTCCTGGAGATGTAGCCCTAGTAAGGGAGGTTCTACTGGTCCGTGTTCATCTTAGCTGACTGCGCAAAATCCTTGTTTGAAATGGAAAAGTGGCAAAGGATGCGGCGGAGGCATTCCCACATGTTCCAAGGTCAGATAATCAGAAGAGTCGGTGACCACGCATGACTGATGACGCAACATGACGCTTCTGGAAATTCTAGGCAACCGAGCTCTGTCGAGAAGCACGCGATCCTGCTATCTCTAGCCTGCAGAATGTCGAGAACCCAAGAAAAATGACAAGACAGGGGCCCGAATTGGAGGCTCGAACTTCGAGTAAATGCGCAGAGCTTGCATGTCTTGCTTGCTACATCCCTGACAGGCATTGTTCAACGCTGTGCATACCAATTGATCTTAGCAGTATATACCTGCATTTGTTTCGTGGAGCTTGGGCTCCGAATCCGGGCCCCGAATCCGGGGCCCGAACCAAAGCTTCGAACAAATCGGGCGACTACACTCAACTTGAATTTAAACTATGTTTGTTACATTTCTAAGGCATACTTTGCAAGGTTACCCATGTCATGGAGATTGGGCTCCCCATCCAGGCCCCGAATCCGGGCCCCGAATCGAACATCAGGCGACTACACTCAACTTGAATTTGAACCATGCTTGTTACATCTCTGAGGCATAGTTTGCAAGGCTGCACGTACAATATACCCATTTCATGGAGATTGGGCTCCCCATCCGGGCATCTTCGAACATCAGGCGACTACGCTCAACTTGAATTTGAACCATGCTTGTTACATCTCTAAGGCATAGTTTGCAAGGCTGCACTTACCATATACCCATTTCATGGAGATTGGGCTCCCCATCCGGGCCCCGAATCCGGGGCCCGAATCTTCGAACATCAGGCGACTACACTCAACTTGAATTTGAACCATGCTTGTTACATCTCTAAGGCATAGTTTGCAAGGCTGCACTTACCATATACCCATTTCATGGAGATTGGGCTCCCCATCCGGGCCCCGAATCCGGGGCCCGAATCTTCGAACATCAGGCGACTACACTCAACTTGAATTTAACCCATGCTTGCTACATTTCTAAGGCATAGTTTGCAAGGCTGCATATACGATATACCCATTTCATGGAGATTGGGCTCCCCATCCGGGCCCCGAATCCGGGGCCCGAATCCCCGAATCAGAGGTTCGAACTTGGAGCGACTACACTCAACTTAAGTTTAAATCATGTCTCTTAGGCATACCATATACCCGCCAAGTGTATTTTAAGGAGATTAGGCTCCGAATCCGGGCCCCGAATCCGGGGCCCGAATCGGAGATTCGAACTTCCAGACTTCGAGCGACTATGTTCGGCTTGAATTTAAGTCATGCTTGCTACATTTAAGTCATGCTGTATGCATATCCATGTTTGAATTTTGGGCGTGAAGTGGTGCATTTATTTTGTAGCAACTATTTCTGGTTCACAAGCACAGCCGCTTTAGAATGGAATTCGTTTACTTTAAAATGACCCTTTCATAGCACAAAATCTCTTTCCGACTTGCACCCCTTCCTGGGTTTAGAATGACTTTTGGAACAGATGCCAGGCATCACTTCACCAGGCAGCACTTGCTTTAAAACGGGTACTGTAGTTTTTAGTAGGTTTAACTTGCTTTAAAATGGGTATTGTAGTTTTTAATCGGTTTTGGAAACCTGTAGAAACCACCATCATTTGACAAAAAAAACTGCTGACTCATTTCAATCCCAAACATTCGATTGCCGCTGCAATGTTCGCACACAAGCTCTGCCGCTCTGCGTGTTGACTACCAAAAAAATCTTAGGCAAAAACTTAACTATCTCAGTACCTCTTTTTTTAATCGTCTTCCATTGAAAGCCATTGCTCGCAACTACCAAAAAAACGCCTGGGCAAGAACTTAACTTTCTGAGTCTTCCATTGAAAGCCATCGCCCGCAACTCAACGCCTAGGCAAAGACTTAACTTTCTCAGTTTCCCTTTTTTAAACCTTCTTCCATTGAAAGCCATCGCCTGCAACTACCAAAAAACGCCTAGGCAAAAACTTAGCTTTCTCAGTACCTCTTTTTTTAACCTTTGGTTCGAGCATTGTGATGAACTCACAGAAATCAAACATGGTGCGCTGACAGTGGGCAGCTCCAACAGATTTCTTGGTCAGCAGCTGCTTCCATAATCGCCTATCAACCATTGTGGCTGGTTATTGTGGTTATTGTAGGTCATTGCTATTATCAACTGATAAGCCGCGAATTCAACAGTGATCAGCCATGGAGTTTCCATGTTTTTTTTCACCAACTAAGTTTTAATCTAGCTAATACTGACTTGATCACTATTTTATTACAATTGTACTAGTATGATTTGCCACGAAGTACCCATGATCGATCAGGGGTAGTGTTATCCAGAGTGGTCAAAGTGTGCTTTGATTTTTTGGTGATTGACAATTTGCTGTAAGAATGTGGTATCCCGTCACATGTCGATACCATTTCCTTGCCCCACAACATTGGAAAAAAAACAACAAAACTAGGATGGGCTCCAGCGCAGCTACAGTTAGAACACTATTTTAATATTTGAATAATCTATTTATCTATCGATCAATCTATCTGAATCAATTGAACATATCTGAATCTATCTATTCAGTATTTTCACCGAATATCCAGCCCCACTTGCGCCGCAAGCCAGGATCGGATATGACACCAGCCTCATCTCTCCCATCCTGGATGCTGAATTGGCGACCTTCCAGTTTGGAGGCGATAGCCATGGATGATGCCACGCTATCCGCTTGAGAACCTAAGAAAATGCATCGTTTAATGATGTTTAATGCTAAGTATATTAAGTATGGATGCAGATGAAGGGTTTACTCCCAACGACGCATGGTGGAAAATGCCACAGATGCACATTTTTGTTGGCCAAACACAGTGTGACTAAATTTGACTAAATGCCACGCACGACACAGGTTCATCAAACAGGAACATTTACTGACGTGACGCTAGGAACATGTCAAATTTGTGGTTTGACTGGACTCCGGTTATCCCTGGATCGATATGGCCAACTGACCTGGATCCATCGATCGCCTGATTGATTCGCCAACAGCCGCGGTCGCAGAAAATCTGCAGAATCATTCTTTCTTCGAGCTGACCTTCAAGATCTTCCCGCGTCTTGGCGTGAGCTGAAGCCGTGGAGGATCATGAACTGATCTATGTATTTAATTGTACAAACACACATATATATATAATATTACATATATAATCAGAATATGTATCTAAAAAAATATACACATAATATAACATAACAAAATATGATATAACATAACATAATATAGTACATATATATTATATATATATTATATACATAATAGAATATATTATTTATGTTATAATATGCACATAATTATACAAACACATATGCATATACATATCCATATGCATATACATATCCATATGCATATCCATATCCATATGCATATACATAATTATACATATACATACATATATTAATGTTTATTTAAATATTTGAGAACATTGATTGCATATGCAGGTGTGCGACAATGGGAAAATGATGCCATCATATGATTTGGACCATTGAGATCATGCTGACATAATTAAAAAAACCCAGGGATAACGATGATGAAAGTCAGGGTCAGGGCAACTGCATTATATAATCCCAAATCCATCAACATAGCCTCAAGGCAGGTGTTCGCAGAGTTCTGCAGTGCCTTGAAGAAGCAGTTCTACAGTGAGGCCAGCTGTGACTTCTTACATTGAAGTGGTTCTAAGTAACAGTTCTATGTAAATGATTTGTGTGTGTGTGTGTGCGTGCAGTGTGTGTGTGTAGGTCAACATGTGAGACACTGAGGCCAGGAGTTCTCTTGTGGCATATTCAGTATATACAGTATCACTGTATCATACTGTATCATACTGTATCATACTGTATCATACTGTATCAGCCATCCACTTTTGGGCATTTGGTGGGGGTTTCACTCGTAGCTGGTTGTCTCTGCCGGTGGCTTGTGTGGAATCCCCAGGGAGAGTCGGTATTCTCCAATGGCTCCATTGCAGAGATGATGTACGTCACGAGCCATGGAGACTTTTGCCTAGGCCGACATGGACCGGTTGAATCCGGTTGACACGTTGACACCTTGGGTGGTGAACGATGGCAGGTGTTTTCCATCCGATGACTCAACAACTAATTATACTCAGTATATATATATATATATAGTCTATAGATGTCTATAGTATAGTCTATAGATGTCTATGGAAACAGGCTCCTTGAAACCAATGGCCAGGTTGTACATGTGAGTGAGAAACCCCAAGAATCCCAATCCCTCAGAGGCGAAGATGAGGGCCAAAGGGAGCGGTCCTTCAGTGGAGAGCACAACTACTTCGCCGAGGTTAGCCTCACCTGGACTGTCAGCATCTGAATTCGGAGTTTTTTGGATTTTTTTTGTTGATATGTCTTAAGTGTTAACTTTACATATTACAGGTAATGGAAAGTGAAAGAAATCATCATTGATTCTGTACCATCCGGGATCGCAATGCGATACCTCAGCCCTTGGAAGATGATTGGGCATGTTTTCTCTTCAAATCTTGTTGGACCCTCCACTACCCAAAAACTCACGCATATGGAGTGGTGCTCTAGTTGGATCATGTTGGATCTGCACGCAGGTCGCACTATACGTGGAAGCTGTAACGCACCAATGCACTCTGGCAGCCGAGTCCTTTGCAGAGGCCGCTGCGCTGTGCGGGCAGTGGGATCCAGTGGGATCAGCAGGACGGGAAACCTCGGTTTCCGAAGACCTAACTCCTTGAGATATGTAATAATTATGATAAATTATGATAATTATGTAGCCATCATTTTACATTCTTATCATTCTTGTTCCCTTTTAACGCTACAAAGGGGATCAAAGGGTGCTGTCACTGGGATTTTATCTCAAACGCTGTGTTTAGAGAATGAATTCTAGCATTTGTGTCCCGAATTGACCCACGGATACTGACGAAGATCAGGTCTTCGTTCTGACCGCTGCCAGTTTAGCTGCAGTCTTGTGGCTTGGCCCAGGATGGCCAGGATGGCCCAGTGCCAGGTGACCAATAGGATCAACTATTTTCCGAAAAGGGAAAAGGCTGCCGAACAAGCCTATTTCACTGACCACTTGAGAAAATATCATTGAAGAACTTTCAAATTATATATGTTACTGTTTATGGATGTAATGTAGCAATGTAACACTTTCATCAACCAAGAAGTACCGCAGCCTTTCCACGATGGTTGCAGCAACTTGGTGTGCACCATGCTATACAATGGTCCTGGCTTGGTGACCAGTGGGGCCAACCTTGGTGGCTATGCTACTCCCAGTTTTTTTTTCGATATTTTTCGATTACTTTTCCTCATTGTCCGAGGGCAAATTCGCCGATGTGCACGACGATGTTCGTTGAGTATGCCAATGAGTCGCTCGGCGCATGGCCGTGCACGTTGTTGAGGCATGTTGAGGCACTCCCTTTGGCCTTGAGGTACATCCGGATCTATTCAGACAGCATTGCTCGTCACGACATGGGAGATGCCCTGGACATACAACAACGCTGTAATCAGAAGGCCTGTTTCTCCAACTCGTTGCTCGACTACAACCCCGGCGGGGTGAGCGTCGTACCGATGCAGATGGTAAAACACAGAGCATCATGACCAGTCAAATGGCTGTAGGAACCAACTTGAGGAGCCTATTCAAAAGTCAGTTTCCCGGGGTGTGTTCAGTATGATAACTATGATAAGTTCCATGGGGACCATGATAATTTCGGGAGGACAGATATATAATTGAAATTTGAAGATTGTGCTTCTTTGATCTTCTTTGAAGTCGCTGTGGTTTCCTTCTCGCGAGGTTCTATTTGGACCTGAACGTGGATGAGCGCAACTTGTCAAACTTTTCAGCCGTGATGGAGTATCTCTAGCAAGATGGAACATTCAAAATTAACAAAGTGAATCCTTCAATGATGAACCCTTCCTGTGTCCTCCGACCGATTGAGCATTTGCACTTCTTTCAACATTTTCAGTACAACATGTTCTCATATTTTCCCATATTTTCCCTAGCAAGATGGTCATTTTGGGGCACCAAGACATCCCCCAGTTTCAGCATGTTTCAGCTCTGGCTCCAGGAAAAATCTTAAGAACCATCGACCTCAGGGAGCTCGAGGAGAAGGACCTGACATTCCGAGTCAGCAGAGTCCGATGATGAAAATTCGTGGCAACGTTTGAACATGGGGCCCGGCCCCCAAACCGCAGAATCATCATGATTATTCCATACTATTCCATACTATTCCATACTATTCCAAGATTTCCCAAGTAAAAATGTCAGTGTGGGGGGCGAAGTTACTAAATTGCAAAATCAGCAAACCCAATTTTGGGACAAAGCCATTGGCAAATTGGTCACCAAACGATCTCGTGCCAATAATGTCGATGTCCAATCTGTGGATGACATGGTGAAGCCATGGTTATCGAATGTCATCCAGGAGGGGCGAACACCTCCCATACGCTTCGTCGAGCACATGATGGAAAGTAATGAGCAGTGCCCTGTCATTGCCGGTTGAATCACCAAGCCAGTGCCCATTCGTTTCATGGTGGACGGTAGCGCCCCTGGCGTTCCCAGGCTTTTTTTGGAACAATTGCGGAGCTCCTTTGTGGAACTTGATCCTACAGATGGCCTTCATGCCAGGCTGTGCGTTCAGTGGGTGCAACAGGGTGTTGACCATCTCGGGACGACTATGACTTGAAAACACTTCCCTGGCAGGTATGGGGAGCCCAAGGAGCAAGAGAAGGTGGAGAGCGGCATTTTGAGCCTCATGGCGCTTGTCAGAAATGACTACGAGGCAGAATGGAACTTGGGAATGACATCAAATGACATCAACGGGCACTCAGAGATTAGGGTGCTTTCATTACTTTTCATTCACAGATCAATGGCCGGAAGTAGTGTGTGCATCAAGGGTGGTATCAGGAGTGTCTTGGTCTAGTCACATGTCGCCTTCCAGGCCTTTACAGCACCGCAGAAGGGGCCCAACCGATTATCCACTACTCAGTGGCAACAACTGCAAGGAGTGCTGGAATGGGCCGAACCTACGCCAGAGCTTCTTGGTGATGCATATCTTGGGAAAGGCACTTTGAAATTGAAGGCTTTGACCGTGACCAGAAATGGGGAACCTACTCCTGGACACAGAAATGGGTTTTTTATTGGACGATGGGTTTGGAGGTGCACTGGGACTTACCTCAAGCAAGGCTAGCCCATGCACTGAGGAAGGTTGCAGCTGCAATTTGGCTTTTGGCGGTCCGTCCCATTGGCAAGTACAGGCAGTGGCATGCACAGCATGAGTGCAATCCTTCTCAGACATGATTTCTTCAACGAAGGTCTACGCCTACTCCTAGCTCCTCTTTATGAGCAGTTTGTTGGGGTGTTGCATGCTCACTGACCTTTTGTGACAGGTCAGTCACTTCCCAAATCCCTTCTGCACATCAACGGCCTGATCAAGCAGTGCGATATGTGCTGGTCGCTTGGATTATGACCTGCCAAACAGCTGCATCAGTGCCGCCGATCTGAGAAAGGGACAGAAAGGACACAGAAGTTTGACAAAGTTTGACAAGCTGCTAGATATGGTTCGCTCAAATTAAATCAAAACATATCAAACCGCTTCCGATGTGACAGATCAGACACCGGGGCTCAGCAAGGCTTCGTACCCTTTTCTGGCACCCACGGGCCATCACCTGGAAAAGCATATTCGACTCTTCGTGAGACTTGGACTTCTGAAACAGCGGTTGCAGTTTGGCATCTATGGTTTGCAGGGAGAGCCAATAATTGCTAAAACACGCCCCCCCCCAAAAAAGAATAAATTACGATTCAGAAACTTTACCCGATTCAGCAACTCCGATTCAGCAACTCCGATTCAGAAACTCCAAGGATTCAGAAACTCCGGGTTGTCCCGATTCAGAAACTCCACCTTGTCCCGATTCAGCAACTCCACCCTGTGTGCCGATTCAGCAACTCCACCCTGTGTCCCGATTCAGCAACTCCACCCTGTCCCGATTCAGCAACTCCACCCTGTCCCGATTCAGCAACTCCACCCTGTCCCGATTCAGCAACTCCACCCTGTCCCGATTCAGCAACTCCACCCTGTCCCGATTCAGCAACTCCACCCTGTCCCGATTCAGCAACTCCACCCTGTCCCGATTCAGCAACTCCACCCTGTCCCGATTCAGCAACTCCACCCTGTCCCGATTCAGCAACTCCACTCCACCCTCTCCCGATTCAGCAACTCCACCCTGTCCCGATTCAGCAACTCCAACCTGTCCCGATTCAGCAACTCCACCCTGTCCCGCATCCTTCCCTTGCATAGAGTTCTTATCAAGATTCCAAGTCATTTTCTAAACTTCCCCCCCCCAAAGCTCTGCATGCAATGGTATTCCTCAATGCACATCCTTCCCTTGCATAGAGTTCTTCTCACGGTTGCAAGTCTTTTTATAAACTTCCCCCCCCAAAGCCCTACATGTGCATGCAATAGTAGTCATCAATGCATACCTTCCCTTTCACAGAGTTCTTGTCACGATTGCAAGTCATTTTCTAAACTTCCCCCCCAAAAGCTCTGCATGCAATGGTATTCCTCAATGCACATCCTTCCCTTTCACAGAGTTCTTGTCACGATTGCAAGTCATTTTCTAAACTTCCCCCCCCCAAAGCTCTGCATACAATGGTAGTCCTCAATGCACATCCTTCCCTTTCACAGAGTTCTTGTCACGATTGCAAGTCATTTTCTAAACTTCCCCCCCCCAAAGCTCTGCATGCAATGGTAGTCCTCAATGCACATCCTTCCCTTGCATAGAGTTCTTCTCACGGTTGCAAGTCATTTTTATAAACTTCCCCCCCCCAAAGCTCTGCATACAATGGTATTCCTCAATGCACATCCTTCCCTTTCATAGAGTTCTTGTCAAGATTGCAAGTCATTTTCTAAACTTCCCCCCCGAAAAGCTCTGCATGCCATGGTATTTCTGAATGCGCATCCTTCCCTTGCATAGAGTTCTTGTCACCATTGCAAGTCATTTTCTAAACTTCCCCCCCCCAAAGCTCTGCATACGATGGTATTCCTCAATGCACATCCTTCCCTTGCATAGAGTTCTTCTCACGGTTGCAAGTCTTTTTATAAACTTCCCCCCCCCAAAGCCCTGCATGCAATGGTATTCCTCAATGCACATCCTTCCCTTGCATAGAGTTCTTGTCACCATTGCAAGTCATTTTCTAAACTTCCCCCCCAAAGCCCTACATGCAATAGTAGTCATCAATGCATACCTTCCCTTTCACAGAGTTCTTGTCACGATTGCAAGTCATTTTCTAAACTTCCCCCCCCAAAGCTCTGCATGCAATGGTATTCCTCAATGCACATCCTTCCCTTTCACAGAGTTCTTGTCACGATTGCAAGTCATTTTCTAAACTTCCCCCCCCCAAAGCTCTGCATGCAATGGTAGTCCTCAATGCACATCCTTCCCTTTCACAGAGTTCTTGTCACGATTGCAAGTCATTTTCTAAACTTCCCCCCCCCAAAGCTCTGCATGCAATGGTAGTCCTCAATGCACATCCTTCCCTTGCATAGAGTTCTTCTCACGGTTGCAAGTCATTTTTATAAACTTCCCCCCCCAAAGCTCTGCATACAATGGTATTCCTCAATGCACATCCTTCCCTTTCATAGAGTTCTTGTCAAGATTGCAAGTCATTTTCTAAACTTCCCCCCCGAAAAGCTCTGCATGCCATGGTATTTCTGAATGCGCATCCTTCCCTTGCATAGAGTTCTTGTCACCATTGCAAGTCATTTTCTAAACTTCCCACCCTAAAGCTCTGCATGCAATGGTATTTCTGAATGCGCATCCTTCCCTTGCATAGAGTTCTTGTCACCATTGCAAGTCATTTTCTAAACTTCCCCCCCCAAGCTCTGCATACAATGGTATTCCTCAATGCACATCCTTCCCTTTCATCGAGTTCTTGTCACCTTTGCAAGTCATTTTCTAAACTTCCCCCCCCAAAGCTCTGCATGCAATGGTAGTCCTCAATGCACATCCTTCCCTTGCATAGAGTTCTTGTCACGGTTGCAAGTCATTTTTATAAACTTCCCCCCCAAAGCTCTGCATACAATGGTATTCCTCAATGCACATCCTTCCCTTTCATAGAGTTCTTGTCACCATTGCAAGTCATTTTCTAAACTTCCCCCCCCCCAAAGCTCTGCATACAATGGTATTCCTCAATGCACATCCTTCCTTTTCACAGAGTTCTTGTCACGGTTGCAAGTCATTTTCTAAACTTCCCCCCCTAAAAGCTCTGCATGCAATGGTATTTCTGAATGCACATCCTTCCCTTGCATAGAGTTCTTGTCACCATTGCAAGTCATTTTCTAAACTTCCCCCCCCCCAAAGCTCTGAATGCAAGGGTAGTCCTCAATGCACATCCTTCCCTTTCATAGAGTTCTTATCACCATTGCAAGTCATTTTCTAAACTTCCCCCCCCAAAGCTCTGCATGCAATGGTAGTCCTCAATGCACATCCTTCCCTTTCACAGAGTTCTTGTCACGATTGCAAGTCATTTTTATAAACTTCCCCCCCCAAAGCTCTGCATACAATGGTATTCCTCAATGCATACCTTCCCTTTCATAGAGTTCTTGTCACCATTGCAAGTCATTTTCTAAACTTCCCCCCCCCAAAGCTCTGCATACAATGGTATTCCTCAATGCACATCCTTCCCTTGCATAGAGTTCTTCTCACGGTTGCAAGTCTTTTTATAAACTTCCCCCCCAAAGCCCTGCATGAAATGGTATTCCTCAATGCAAATCCTTCCCTTGCATAGAGTTCTTGTCACCATTGCAAGTCATTTTCTAACCTTCCCCCCCCAAAGCCCTACATGCAATAGTAGTCATCAATGCATACCTTCCCTTTCACAGAGTTCTTGTCACGATTGCAAGTCATTTTCTAAACTTCCCCCCCCCCCAAAGCTCTGCATGCAATGGTATTCCTCAATGCACATCCTTCCCTTTCACAGAGTTCTTGTCACGATTGCAAGTCATTTTCTAAACTTCCCCCCCCAAAGCTCTGCATGCAATGGTAGTCCTCAATGCACATCCTTCCCTTTCACAGAGTTCTTGTCACGATTGCAAGTCATTTTCTAAACTTCCCCCCCCCCAAAGCCCTGCATGCAATGGTAGTCCTCAATGCAAATCCTTCCCTTGCATAGAGTTCTTCTCACTCGGTCCGGTTCCCATTCTACGGCATGCCCGGCACACCCTGCCTATAGATTTCCTATTTTTGAAACTTCCGCCACCGCCTTGCGCAGTACTATTGGAATACACCAGTCAATATTGGGATACATTGGATTCGTGTATGATCAACCATTCGGATTGCATCAGTGAGTCTATACATATAGGAGATCAGTTTGCATTTTCAGATCAATCCGACGAACTACATCCGGAATGTTCTTTTTTCCACAATGCAGTTTGTTTTTTTTTGAGATCTCGGCACTGGGAGTTTCCACACCAATGCTATTTCTAAATCCCAAATTCAAGTTTCCGAATCCGGGGGGAGCCGCAACTTTCCGTATCCGAAGGCCTTGAAGTTTCCGAATCCGAGGGCCTGGAAGTTTCCGAATCCGTGTCTTCGAAGTTTCCGAATCCGGGGGACAGCGAGTTTCCGAATCCGACGCCCTGGCAGTTTCCGAATCCGCGGGCTTCGAAGTTTCCGAATCCGGGGGGCAGGGAGTTTCCGAATCCGAGGGCCACGGAGTTTCCGAATCCGGGGGCCTTGAAGTTTCCGAATCCGAGGGCCTGGAAGTTTCCGAATCCGAGGGCCTGGAAGTTTCCGAATCCGTGGGCTTCGAAGTTTCCGAATCCGGGGGGCAGCAAGTTTCCGAATCCGAGGGCCTGGAAGTTTCCGAATCCGTGGGCTTCGAAGTTTCCGAATCCGGGGGGCAGGAAGTTTCCGAATCCGAGGGCCAGGGAGTTTCCGAATCCGTGGGCTTCGAAGTTTCCGAATCCGAGGGCCTGGAAGTTTCCGAATCCGACGCTAAAGTTTCCGAATCCGGGGGGGAGGGAGTTTCCGAATCCGAGGGCCTGGGAGTTTCCGAATCCGACGCTGAAGTTTCCGAATCCGACGTTGGCCCCAAAAAAATATTAGGGGGTATTTTGTATTAGGGTGCCCCTAATATTCCAATGAACATCCTAGTCTTAATAAAAAAATAAAAAATAAAAATTGTGAGATGGGACCCTACTAAAACACCTCCAGGTACCATTCTATTTTTATGGGTAGGGGGCTGTCCCCATTGTTTCACCATCCTGTTCTCCTATTGG